TCTAATCATATAGTTCACCACAGCCTCAAACTTGGGGGCTCAAGTGATCCTTTTGCCTCAGCCTCCCAAGTAGCTGGGACTATAGGCACCTGCCACAATGCCCAGCTATTTCTTGTTGTTGTTGCATTTTGGCTGGGGGCAGGTTTGAACCCACCACCTTTGGTATATGGGGCCAGCTCCCTACTCACTGAGCCACAGGTGCCACCCAGAATCTCACTTCTTGATTTCAAAATTAGGCCCGGTGCTGTGGCTCGTATTTATAATCCTAGCACTCTGGGAGGCTGAGGTGGGTGGATTACTTGAGCTCAGGAGTTCAAGACCAGGCTGAGCAAGAGTGAGATCTCATCTCTACTAAAAATAGAAAAACAAGATGGGTGTGGTGGTGGGTGCCTGTAGTCCTAGGTAGTTGGGAGGCTAAGGCAAGAGAACAGCTTGAGCCCAAGAATTTGAGGTTGCTGTGAGCTGTGACACTGTGGCACTCCACCAAGGGTGACAGAGAGACTCTGTCTGAAAATAAAAATTTCCTGCAAAGGCATGAAATGAAATGAATGAAAACAGTTGGTACTAGCATACAGACAGACATGACATCAATAGAACAAAATGTTGTAGCACAAAAATATAAGGGACACTATGAAAGTTTTGAGATACACAAAAGTTAACAAACGTAGGATTATTATTATTATTATTATTATTTGCAGTTTTTGGCTGAGGCTGGGTTTGAGCCTGCCACCTCCGGCATATGGGCCCAGCGCCCTATTCCTTTGAGCCACAGGCACTGCCCACATAGGATTATTTTGATTACTGTATTCTCTCAAAGCAATTTCCCCAATATTCTATGCACTTTTGCATTCTTGTAAATTATTTTTGCAAACACTCTTTCCACTCATTTTCTTCAAGTGCCATAAGCCTACTCTTAGTTGTGAACATCTTCAGACCTAGAGAACCTTCTTCTGAGCATGCAGGAAGGGGTAACAGGAAATAATCACATAGGGCCAGGTCAGGACTGTAGAGTGGGTGTGTCATGTAAGTGTGAACTCTGTGGACTCCAGAAACTAAATGGTGATGCTGGCTGTGCAAGTGGACACATTGTCGTGGTGCAATATGGTCACCTGCAGTCCTCTGGCCTCTGTTCTTGAGCTTCCTAAAATCTTTTAGTAGGCATACTGTTGTGTACTACTGAGCAGTAACAGTCCTTTGTTCCTCCAGAGGAACAGTTGTTACGTGACAACTTTTGAAGAAGAAAAATTGCTACCATTTCTTTCTGACACTTCAGGGCCACTTTACTTTTGGTGGATTTTCATCCAGAAAAATCCACATTATCAAGTGACGCTTATTCTGTAGATCAACCCAGTACATCCAGGTTTCGTCACCAGTAACAATGTCAGAAACACATCTAGACTTGCCTGTGTCGAATCTGGTCAGCATTTCTTCACACCATTCAACACAGATGCACTTTTGCTCATCTGCCAAAGTGTGAGGCCCCATCAGAATGAAACTTCCTGGACTTGATATTGCAGGATTTTGGATACTGCTGGCAGTCAAATCTGTTGTGGTTCTTCAGTGTCCTTAAATGTCACTCACTTGTTTTTACGAACCATGTTTTCCACAGAGGTGATGTTTTCCTTAGTCACTGTGGTCACCAGATGCCCACGCCTCTCAACTTTCACTGAAGTTGAGCCTCTACTAAATTCTTGAAACTGTCAAAACCTTGTTGTATGGGAAGGAGTAAGGTCCCCCAAAGCTTGTTGCAAACACTCAAGGCTTTGAGGCTGATTTAGCCCACTTTTAAAATCAGGAAATCATTATGGGAAAGTCCTCTCTTCCCAGCTCCATAGCTGCAGCTGACTGAGTGCTGAGGGATGGAAACAAATGACGCCCCCAGCAGCACCAATAAGCTGAGCAGGTTGAAACTAGCACAGGTGAATCAGAAGGGTTGCTGCCTTTGTCTATATTTCTTGGAAGTGAAATAATGGATCATAACAGAGTCTTGTGATGTTTGTATACATCTGCATATGCAGTCTAATTACTGGGATGCTAAAACCATTTGTGGGGGGTCAGGGGAGGCTAGTGTTTCCAAAGAATGGTTGGTGCTGGGAAAACTGGACATCCACATGTAACAGAATAAAATTGTGCTTTTCCCAAATACCATAGGCGAAAATTAACCCCAAATGGAATTAAGACCCATGTGTAAGTCCTAAATATATAAACTCTTAGATAAAAACAAAAGAGAAAACGTTATTGCATGGTTTTGGCAATGATTTCCTGGATATACCACCAAACGCATGAGCTGAAAGAAAAAATAAGTAAATTTCATGGAATTTAACAACTTTTAATGTACAAAATGGTGATAGATATTTGGACAATAAAGGACATGCTGTTGAGGTCTCAGATGGAATTGAGGATGATACTGGAAGATGGAGAAAAGATCCTTATAAAGAAGCAAAGAATCTGGGCAGCGCCTGTGGCTCGAGTAGGGTGCTGGCCCCATATACTGAGGGTGGTGGGTTCAAACCCGCCCAGGCCAAACTGCAACAAAAAATAGCCGAGTGTCGTGGCAGGCGCCTGTAGTCCCAGCTACTCAGGAGGCTGAGGCAAGAGAGTCGCCTAAGCCCAAGAGCTGGAGATTGCTGTGAGCTGTAATGCCATAGCACTCTACGAAGGGCAGCAAAGTGAGACTCTGTCTCTATAAAAAGAAAAAAAAAAAAAGAAATAGTAGTATGGGTGTGAACCATGAATTTAATCACTCAAGCACTTTGACTTGAAAGTGACAGGAAGAAATGTGAGATTTTTCAGATTTTACAGAGATGGTCCATTGACCATTCAGTTGTGAATATGTGATATTCTTCAGGACAAGAATGAAGGACCACTGTATCTGTTCACAGGTCATGAGGGCTGCCTCCTGAGTATTAACAGTATAGGGCATTTTGGAGTTTCCACAGGCACGATGACTATAGCTGTGCAGGCAGTGCCAGGAAAGCCCTGGGCATCTAACCCGTGTCTAACAGAGATGCTGAGTCACAATGCTTGTCAAGTGTGCCTTGAGGGCAGAGTATTGAACCAAAGAAGATTACTTTCCAGCCTTAAGGTCTCATGATGTTTACCTTTTGGGTTTTGCACTTGTTTGGGAATGGCATGTTAATGGTATGCCTGTGCTGTTTGTTGTATTTTAGGGTACTTAACTCATTTTTTTCCCAAAGGTTCATAGCCAGAACAGAATTTTGCCCCAAGTTGAATATCACCAGGTGATATTTAGATATCACTTTGATTTTGGGATTTAGAGTTAATGGTGAAATGCGTCAAGACTTTTGGTGATGTTAGAATGGAATGAATATATTTTGCATGTGATGGCATGAATTTTGAGGGGAAGAATATTATTAGGTTTATCCCCCAAAATTCAAATGTTGAAACTCTACCACCTAATATATGGAAAAGGAGATGGGATCTCTGGAAGGTGATTAGGATTACATGTGATCTTAAGGGTAGAACCCTCATGAATGGGATTCAGGGGTCTGCAGAGAGCTTACTTTTGCTCTCCACTGTACAAGGACAATGTGACGACAGCTTTCTTTGAGCCAGCAAGTCAACTGTTGCCAGCCACTGAACCTGCATTGTTTTGCTCTAGGAAAATTAAATGTTACTTGGTTAGGCTTGGCGCC